TAGGGAAAGGTATATGGGTAAGAACAGTATATGTTGATACATTAAGAGCTTGATCCAGGATGGGCTGTCAACTATGGGAAAAAAAAAATCTCACTGAGTTTAAGAGGCTCTTAATGAGGCCATGGAAGTGCTTTTGATCTTGATACCATCTTTCCTTAATATAGTGTGTTGGGTTACTTTGGGTACTTTTGGAAACATTTAGCTTTAAATACCTTTATTCATGAAGTCATGAATTCTGCGTTCTCAGATATGATTTGTGAGACTATGTTGGAGTAATTTTTTCTCCCTAGATTTGATCAGGAATGCACAGGGCATAACAATCAGTGATTACTTCCTTGCTGAATGCAACAAGCAATGATCTCTTCTGTTTTGGCCCTTTCAATATATTATACAGTTAACATGAATTTTAGTTTTAGCTGTAATGAACTCCCTGCTGAAAGAGTAATCAAGCTGATTTTTCAAAGTTCCAAAGGAAACAGAACGCCTTACTCTTTCTAAATCTCACCAGTGAACAGCGATACACATCTAGTACCGAGAATCTTGAGTTATGTTCTTGGTGTCAGAAACCATTACTATCAGGGAAATAGGATCAAAAGGTGTATAAGACACAGGAATCATGCCTAATATAGGAATTTTTAAAATATCTTTCCTTTCTCCTGGTAAAATGAGGGCACGAACCTTTCTGACACAAGTGCATATAAAATATCTCCACTGGGTTCTCCAGGAAAGGCCAGTTAGACAAGAGCGATCACTGTTACCATGCAGTCATGTGCATATGGGGCTGCCATTTTAAAACCGTGGCCTTTACTTAAAGTGTTGCCCTTGATCTTGCTTTATGTCTTTGTTCATATTAAGAATATAACAGTATCTAAGTCTTCGTTCCTACTGTTTCCTTAACTGTGCTCAGAAGTGATAAGAAATACAGTTAGAAAGCCCTTCTATTAGAACCCTTACCTTGAAGAATTCTCACGAAGAACTCGTCTTCATTTGGTTTTATTTGTTGAAAAAAAAAACCATGAAATACTGTTTGTGGGAGGAAGAAGACATTTTGGGCTACAGCCAGTTATCACATACTTTTTACATACATCTTTTAGGAGATACTTCTGTGTTAATTTGTTTTAAATGGTGATAGATTATTGTTCAAAAACATTAATGGTTTTTAAATGTAATTATTCAGTGTGAAAGTTGACACGGGGAACGTCATTGGTGAATTTCCTCAGGATCCAGTCTGACCCAAGAGTTAATTTTCTTTTTGTTATCATCTACTTTATTATTTATTATTTAAAATTGAAAGGTTTTTTTTTTATATAAAACTTGACATTATGTTATGTACATTCAATAGCATACATTACTTGACACCTTTACAGTACTATATCTGCTTTAACATCTTTTTCTGATGAGGACAGGTAAATTGAATGTTCTTGAAATCAAAAGTTATGTGGAAAAAAAGTACAAACCCAAACAATAACGCTCTTAACATGCTTCCTTTGTTCAGCATTGCTCAACAGGCTTCCAGGATAGTTATACAGAAGCACAGTTTTTTGTCTCTGTTGACTTTAGTGAACTTCACTTCTATTTCTTGTTTGCCCCTTAAGGATTTTTAATCAACACAAAGGCTAGTTCTGCGTTAAGAAATTAAGCATAGTCAGGACCATTCTGTGGACTTCTGCATCTCAGGAATGATCCTAATGATGAGCTAATTCCTGAAATGTTCCTATGACTTGTTTCTAAGTGTATTATTTGGCTTGCACCAAAAGCAACCAAAGACTACCTGATAATGGTTGAACATTAGATAGAATTGGGTTCCATTTTACCTGAGCATGTTCCCAGGCAATGTTTATTTTGCAGATATAAATGTAGTCAAGTTCATTGTAAATCCTTTCCCAGTAATACATGCTGATACTAGTTTCCTTATCTAGGCTGTGGTAGCACTGGATGATTTTTCAAACCACATTAATTGTGGTTTGGATTAACTATTTAACCCTTCAGGTACACATTACGGGTCTAGAACAGCATGCCCAAACTTGGCATTGGATTTGGTTGTAATGTTGGCATTACATAGATGTCGTGAGAGGCATAAAACAAAACACAATAAATTCTTCTATATGCTTTTCTTTGCTTTATTGCCCTAACAGTCAGGAACGTTCTTGGGGATTAGGACAGAGCCCATAATCCTGCTGTTTTATCTGTGTTTTAGATTATGAACTCAGAGAAAACAGAGAATGCATGTGTATGTTTCTTTATTTTTGTTTCTTGTTATGTAAGTATTTTTTAAAAAATTATTTATTTCTGGCTGCAATAACCTCTAGCTGCCTTTGTCAGGGGAGTACTTGATCAGTATTGTTGGTTGCTGTAACTCCTCCTCCATGTAATCCAGTTAATTAGTTAGTTGCTTAGTTACTTGAGCATTTGGATTTGGAAAACCAGTTTGCTGTGAATTACAATCACTCTTGTGGAAGGGTGTTTCATTTAAACAGATTCTTGTCAAATATCTGCTATTATTAGCTTTATGCCAGTACTTAGGGCTTCAGTCCAAGACAGAGGTAGAGAAAATACAGGCAGACAAGGTCAGTCAAGATGGAAGCTTTCAATTTGACACAGTCTAATAAGATTTCAGAGTTCACTGATATAATTGCCAAAAACAATTCCTAAGATTACTGCAACTAAAAAAGATTTATGGTATAGATTCCCTGCTTTTTCATCTCATTTACTTCAGACTTGCAGAGTTTGGTGTTCAGTCTCTCTTGATGATTCAGACCTCATCTCTAGTCCATGGAAGCTATGTAAAATCAGCAACTGACACTGCTTCTGTAAGGAAAGAAAATGAGAAGGGATGCCTTGTGACTCACAGATTTTAAGACTAAAGTGCAGAGTTAATATAATACAAATTTCTGAATTGACTCACCCGCCTTACCACTGCACAGAAACTATGCATGAAAGTGTGCAGTTTCTAAAGCTTCTCAATAATGCAAAGAATTTTATGTACACAGACAAAGTTGAGCTAGGATGTTAGCCTGTCAGTGAAATTCACAGAATTCTAGTTCGGTTAAAAAAATCATAGAGGAAAAAACACTGAATTCACTGTGAGTTTCAGGGTTTTTCCTAAGTCTGTTAGGACACTTCCCTGGGAAGTGGTTCAAATTCACTCAGAAGTATAGTCTAGCCATACTACTGAAGCTCCAGTGTCCTGCATGAATGGTCTGACTTGTGTTTATGTCACAAAGTAAACTGTAATATATGTTCCACTGTAGCATGTCTGCATTGTAATAGAGATAGATTGAGGCAGAATGTAGCCAGAATGCTACAATGCAGAAGTAGGTTTAAAATGGGTTTATATGATTGTACCCATTTCAGCAATGTTTCTGAACCAGACCACACAAAATAAGGAGTCACACCCTTTACCTCTTGCCACAGTTGAAGACTGACTAAACCAATGCCATTCTAAAGCAATTTGAAAGGAGGCAGGGGAAGGTTTATTCATCTTCTGGCTTTTGATTCTCTAAAGAACACTTAGCAAATGTTTTCCAAGCTTTTTTTTTAAAAAAACCCAAACCTGCAAATACTAAGAATAGAAATATTTTCTTTTTAAATAAATGAGATTTGCACATAATCACAATATTCCATGGATTGGTGCTTTAATTAAGCTTCATGTAATGGAGGTCTCACAGATAGTGTGAGACCTGTCATAACATTGTGAAATTTGTCCGGAATTCCCAACAATGTCTTTCAGTCACTTTAAACATTAGTAATGGGAGACAGCTACATGTTAGAGATCCAGAATTAGACCTGAGTGAAGATGATTTAATAATTCATAACAGATCTTGACCCTCAAGGCTAATATTAAAACATTTTTTCTATGCTGTGTCTAGGGTATACTTTCTTCTTATATGTAGTATTACTACAATGAACACAGGTTATAATTAATAAAATAGAGGAAACAACTACTCTAAGTCATAACATATTTCTGCTGTCCCAAAAGTATTTGTCACTATGGAGGTTCCCTCAAAATCCATATCAGAAATTAGAAATACTGAACTTTTTAAACTGTGCTTAAATAAATGGATACACAAATGTTGCTGTGCTCCCTGGTAGGGGTTTCATACTGCAACCACATCTCAGCCCAAAGTGAAGATGAGATTCAGCTGTCCTCCAGTCTTTCCCTTCTTCTCCTGTTCTCCACATAGAGGAAGCTCAAGTGTGTCAAGTCGGTAGCCACTGATGTGTATAAAAAGTGGATGACACCTGGAATACACCATAAAATAATCCTCTAGGGTCATTTAGTGCAGATTTAAGTACTTACCTGTCCTGAAAATATTTCTGTGTACACTAATGTCACTGTCAATCTCGTCTGTTATTTATCGGGGAGTATAGATTGGAAATCAGCTAAGATTCTAAGGTTAATATTAAAACCACCAAAACTCTATAAAAAACTTGTTTGAGAACTGAATACTTCATCTGAATTTATTGAAGCTTTTGAAATAAGGTGTCAAATAAATGTCTTGGTGTTCTCAATAGAGCCATCTCTGATTCTCCATTTACTGTTTTCACTGGGGCTGCTTATATAGTTGAAAAGAGGAGGATAAATTAGGTCACTGAAACTGGTATACTAATCTGACAAGATTCAAAAAGGAAAGCAAGGTGATAAAGTGAGGCAAAGCAGGACTATGTAATGTAAATTACATTTCTATTAAATAGAGTATCAAAGTGCTGCTTTAATCCCTAGCATGTCTAGAAAAGAAATCAGCATAACAAGAATAGACACAGCATTCATGGTTTACTTATTCATATGCTGGTGGTGCAGTGTACAGTGTCAGGAAAAACTTGTGGTACCGAAAAAAGGGCAAAGTTTTAGGT